GTCAGGACCCTTATACATCTATCTATCTGCCTATTCTTAACATCCTTATTGAAAACTTAAATTATTGAATCTGTGTTCAGTTTCATTTTTTCCAAATGTTCATTAATAATTTTTTCTTCTAGTTAAATTTTAGAACCATTTTGTATATTAAACAGATCTTAGGATTTTATGAGAATTATCTTTAACATAGCAATTAATTTGCCAAGAAGCATACAAACTACTGTTTATTGTAAGTAATATAACATTTAGGAACCTATTAAGTTCTTTTGACCATTCATGTTCAACTTCATTTTCTCAACATTATTATTTAAGGTTTGAGCAAACTAAGCTACTCCTCATTCTATGTATTAGATTAAGTCTAATACATAGCAGAGAACATATCTTCTTTGCAGTATGCCTATAAGTATTCATGAAATATTTATTAACCAATGATTGCATGTGAAATCACAAAGAAAATAAGAAAATCCCAAAAGTAAATTCCGTACACCATTTTCTTCAGCCACAATGTAACAAACTTAGAGATAAAAAACATTAATGATTAAAATACAAGAGGAATATTTGTAATACTTAGAAGAAATACATCTATCACATAAATATATTCTTCTGTATAATAAAATAGAATATAGTTCCTATGCAAAGGAACTATATTTATAAATTCATAAAGGAACTATATTTCATAAATAAATAAGAAAAAGTTTTACAACTCAATTGAAAAGTGTACAACAGCAAATAGAGAAGTCAGAAAAAAAGTAGTAAAAGGCCAACAACCTGAAAAGTTGTTCACTATCATAACCAAACAAATGAAAATGCAAGCTTCAAATAAGATATTTTTATTGGTCAGTTCAGAAAGCAACAAAATGAATCCAAAAGAGTGTTGATGGAATGTGGAAGGCACTAATGATGGGAAAGAAAGTGAAAGTATAAAATGAAGCACTCTTTCTAAAAGGTAACAAATATATTTGAAGTTTTCAACATGAATACTATTTAACCCATTCATTTCATCTTTAAAAATTTATCCTAAGGAAAAAAAAAACACTGTGAGAGCAGACAAATATGTTGCATTCCATAATGATCAAAAAAGTGAAAACTTGAAAACAAACTTATTAAAGGGGAATATTGTTTGGCATGGTGGTGCACACCTGTAATCCCAGCAGCTCAGAAGAATGAGGCAGGGGGATCGCAAGTTCAATGCCAGCCTCAGCAACTTAGCAAGATCCTGTCTACAAATGAAAAAACTGCGGATGTTGCTCAGTGGTTAAGCACCCCTGTGCTCCGTTCCCAGTACCCAAATAAATAAATAAACAAAGACAATTAAAACTTATCCTGGGTATCATTACTTTCATAATCAAAGAGTAATAATATTCAGGTAAGTAATGACATTCAGAAGAAGTTTTTAGGAGCATTCGTAAGTCCTGAATGATCCCATTTAAAAAGTCAGAGTACATATGTATCAAACTAGTGGGCTTTGGTCAAGGATGAAGGAACCTATTAATTAAAGTTTCCCATTTATTTACTGACTCTATTTAATTTAAACCTTTCCTTCTTCTGTTTTTAATTTATGGCCACATTTTTATTTTTAAATGTGAACTTAGAATCCATTTAGTAAAGAGATTTATGTTTTCGCTCACTGAATAATATGTGTCCTAAGTGGTAGGCAAATTGTGTCTAAAAACCTCTAGACCACAAAACTTCATTAGTAATATTTCATTTCAAATTAGAACCATTTATGTTTTATTGAGACCTATTCAAGGGTCATCCTATTATCCCTTGGCAGAAAGAGGAGGCAAAATTCTAATAGAGATTGGGTTAGTTATGTTTTAACAAATAAATGAGCATAGTTTCCCCTTCTCTAAAAAAAAAAAAAAAAAAAAAAAAACAAAAAAAACAATGACTTAAAATTTAAAGTTCAAATTCAATTTTCATCTGTTGATTTGAACATTCTTTATTTCTGGGATAAATTATACTCTTCAGTTTACTTTCTGGACTGTGAACATTTCAAATTTCACTGGACAGTGAGACACAGTTAAACACTTCCTTGAGAGTGATCAGTCTTCTTGTTTTACTGCCTTTTGAACCCAGATTTCAAAGGTCGATGAATTAGGCCAGTGTTGTTTAGATTATGTACCAACCGCAAACATACCATACTGTGCAGAGCAGATAAGAAACATGATCAATAATCAGATAGCACCTCACAGCCGGTGCTTTAGAAAGAGAAGATGATCAAAACCAACCCAACATTTTCAGCGCGTGTTTATACCATATGGATCAATTGTACAACAGTCAGTGTATTCTAAACAGCATGACTGCTCGCGCCGAAGTTCCCTTATATCATTACCAAAAAGCAACCCAAGTGTGACTACAGATATTTTGTATTTCTCTTTAATAGATAACCTTGTTGATGCAGGTTGCCACTTTTCTTGCAACCACCCTGTAAATAATGTGTTCTTCACTAAGTAAATATGTCAAATACAAACAAAAAGTAGGTCAGCTTAAGCCTTGAAATATCTCAGAGCAAAGGAGAGTATGAGTATTTTTAAATCAATTTACTCAATATCCCAAAGGATCAAAGCTCTGTTTTAAAGCTCTAAAGCCCTGGATATAATTCTGATACGGAGATTCTAAATATTCTTTCTAATATAAACCTTAAACAACTTGATACATTCCTTTAACAAACACCAACCTATGATTCCTGACTAAAGATTTCTAACAGTGAAATTTAAATGAGGTTTAAGTGCACTTGTACTCCTTCTACACATCAGGCTCCACCCTAAGCATCACACAGACACTATTCCATGTAATACCCACCTCACCACCCTGTGGCAGGTACTCTGTATCTTAAAGGGGAGGAGCATCAAAGCATAAAGAAACTGAATCTGCCTTAGTAACCCACCTAGTGGAAGGTAGACCTGAGTTTCAAACCTAGACAGACAGTCCAGCTCTGCAGTTCATGCTCCTAACTCTGTGCCATCATAGAATTGAGAAGTTTTTTCTTATATTTTGTTTGTAGGCATTAAGTTATGTATCTTTAAAATTCTTCATATATATATATATATATATATATATATATATATATATATATATACTGTAAAGGAACACAATTTATTTATTTTTAATTGGTGCTGAGAATCAAACCTAGTGCCTCACACAAGCGCTCTACCACCAAGCCACAAGTTTTTGTTTGTTTGTTTGTTTTTTATTGGTTGTTCAAAACATTACAAAGCTCTTGACATATCATATTTCATACATTAGATTCAAGTGGGTTATGAACTCCCATTTTTACCCCAAATACAGATTGCAGAATCACATCGGTTACACATCCACATTTTTACATAATGCCATATTAGTAACTGTTGTATTCTGCTACCTTTCCTATCCTCAACTATCCCCCCTCCCCTCCCCTCCCATCTTCTCTCTCTACCCCATCTACTGTAATTCATTTCTCTCCTTGTTTTTTTTTCCCATTCCCCTCACAACCTCTTATACGTAATTTTGTATAACAATGAGGGTCTCCTTCCATTTCCATGCAATTTCCCTTTTCTCTCCCTCTCCCTCCCATCTCATGTCTCTGTTTAATGTTAATCTTTTCCTCCTGCTCTTCCTCCCTGCTCTGTTCTTGGTTGCTCTCATTATATCAAAGAAGACATTTGGCATTTGTTTTTTAGGGATTGGCTAGCTTCACTTAGCATAATCTGCTCTAATGCCATCCATTTCCCTGAAAATTCCATGATTTTTAAATGCAACACAAAGGTTGCATTAACTCGCCAAACTTTTTGAAAAGCTTTGTGATTATTTTCACTCATGTGTCATATTCCTATTTAAACCTATTGCCGCACACTTTTTCTTTCTTCCTTTATCTCCTTTTGTTATCCATTTTCCTTCACCTCTCAACTTATTTACACTGATTCCTGAAGTTGCTTTTCTCCCAAAAGTTTCGCTCTATCTTCTCTCTGGAGCCACTGGGTTCCTCTGACCTCTACACCCTGCCCACCTCCCTTTGGCCACCTCCTTATTTCCTGGCCTGTTATCATCCATTGCCATTCTAACATATTAGCCACAGAGCATCTTACCATGAATGAATTTACAGTCATTGCTGTAATAAAGTTGTTTTTCAAATAATGAGGAATATAATTACAGGGAATCATTACAAATAATGAATAAAAATAATCTTACAGAAGACTTTAAAGACTCTTACTCTAATGGTTAAATTTTTAAAATCCATCTTGTCTTTCTGATTTTGAATTTTATTTTTAGAGTTCAGTTTAATAACTGCTTCATTATCAAACAGAATATACACAAATTGGTTTGCTTTAAAACAAGCTTTATCTTCTATAGTGTTGTTTGACAATTAACCCCTGTTCTCACCTTAACCATGGGAGTCTGATAACTCTGTGATAAATACTGGCTGGAGCCCTAGTGAACTTTAACACCAATAAAACAAATACTGTACGAATTAAAAGAAGTAAACAAGAGAACATGAACCAGAAAAAGAGCAAAAGGAATAGGTGAAAGGATGCTACCAAAAACAAAACAAGAAGAGTTTGAAAAAAAAAATCCCTCTTCAAGTAACTATAAATATTTATTACTTACCGAATAGGGGAAAAAAAAGAGGCAAACATTTATTTAAAGATCTATTTACTTAAGAAGCCAAGTTCTTATTTTCATTTTTATTGAATAAAAAATTTAAGATATAACTTTTTGACACAAAAATGTATCTACCACCACAATAATTAAATTTGAGTAAAATTTTTCATTTCAAAACTGGTTAGGTCAGAAGCCATCAAGTGGGTGTAGGTGAGGGTGTTTATGTATGTATAAGTCTGCTGGCTGCACTGAGCCCACATAGGGTGTTTGCTTTGCATAATGAACATTCCTCATCTTTCATCTTCTGCTCTGTGGGAGGGAATTCGTAGGGAGGGGGTAAACTTGTCCTTCTTGCTCTTAAAGAAAAGCCTGCGATTAAATGGACGAAAACTAAAGATACTCATTAGAAGTCATAGTAGTGATTCTCACCACTTGTTTGTGGTGGAGCTCAGATTCCCTCCCCAGGGACTGATGGAAGCTCAGCTCCCCCTGTACTAACCTGGATATCGTACCTGCCTATCACTAAAGAGCTGAGTGACATTTCATTTCATTACATTTTGCAGGAGGCTAAACTTAGGGAACTTTAAAGTTTTTGCCTTGGAACGACGTGCTCATGCAAGGTTTTTCTGCTGTGGATTGTTGATGCTGCAGGAGCAGATAGACTGATGTGCCTTGAATTCCAACAAGGAGAAGGTAGTGTGCTGTTCTTTTTGAATAAAGAGTGCATACCTTTGAGAGGCTTTTTACCTTACTGTGTTCCATTTTTATTCTTGATCAATTCGATGTGAGTCATTTAAATGCCAGGCAACATTAATTTATATTTACTCATTTGAAAACTTTGTCTAGTTATTTGCTCATATTGGAATCATTTGAGACCTATCTGTAAACAATATTCAAATTCACTGTCATGCAACGAGAATTAAGGTGTGTGCATATACATGTATTGGGAGAGGTAGGGGATAAAGAGAAGGTAAATTATGGCAGTCGTATTAGGAATTAACAAAATGTGAGCCTTTATAATAACCAAATTGGGTTTTTTCCCCCCTTTCGTCTTTTGTCCCTACGTTAGTTTTGACCTCTCCCTGACAATTAGGAAATATTCATTAGCAATGATGTGACTCAGGGAAGTAGTATATAATTTTTACCAGGCGACTTTAAAGGATTAAGACCTTTCAATGTATCTGATCCATCTGTTTCTTTAGGGCCCACATTTTGGAGGAAGTGCCATGTGATTTCACATAGGGATGTTCATGACCTGAGTTCTTAAAGCTGTGTATGAAACAGATTTTAAGGGATCCAGGCCTGATTAAAACAGTTAGCCTGTTCACATCCCCCCTATTTACTGTGGATTACTGGAAGGGAAGCAGGGGTTAAACCAGCAGGTCTTGCTGTTTCCCCAGAGGTTAACCTGGCAGCCGGTTTGGCACCCACAGGAGGGCTGACAGGTAGCAGGATTTGTCTAAGCAGGCTGCCTGAGAGCCAACAAGGAAAACTGAATGCTCTGGATTAGTTCTGGATTATGTTGTCAGAGTGAAGGCTGATGGACAAACTGCAGAGGAATAAAATGCAATCTGTTTGGGGAGAGAGGCAGCGTGCATAGCTTTCATTTTTCAAGAAATGACAAGAAAAATCATTAATAATTTGTAAATCCATGTCCATTAACTTTTTTCTTTGTTATCCCAAGACAGCATTTTTAACATGAGTTTGCCACTGTCCTATATCTCTTCTGCCTAGTGACAGATGGCAAGATAGATATGAAATTGGATTCATAAAATAATACCCCCACCTCCAAGAAAGATAGAGATGTTATTCTCCTAACGACGCTTGGCCTCCCCCACTCCCTCCCCCCATGATGAAAGAAAAAGGTTGACATTGGTGACATAGCCAAATACATGTGTTCTCTCTCTCGCCTTCGTATTAAATTTTAATATGATGGTATTATGTAATGAAATTTAAGCTGAAATGAAGTAAATAATCATGATAATATTCATTCATTTGTTATTGTAACAAAATGTGGTACATGATCCTTCCTTCCGCCCTCCTGTCTTTCTTTCTTTTCATAAAAGCACTTGAACATCAGTTCCAGAAACTACCTGAGAGAGTTAAGAGGTAAGGATACACAGAAGGGATATTTCCTCAAAAATAAGAGTTACTAAAATTCTTAAAGAATGGTTGTGAAATAGTTTTGATGACAAAATTTCCATTTACTCATATATCTTACCATCTAAAATAACTTAGGGCTTGTATTTTCTCTCAGCAAATTGTGCTTCATAAAGTGAAAAGTACCTCTCATCACGTGCTCTCAGATGAGACTAAGGAGAAACTAGGATATATTTTCTAAATAGTTCTAAAATATCAAAATTTAGAATATTCAGATATCTTCAGTTTTAGCTGAATTTTCCCTATAACTTTATAATAGTTTTTAAAATGGAGCTTTGACATTTAAGGGAGTTAACAATCACAGACTCTAAAAGTAAAATAGCAGCATGTTTATGTTCTGCTCGTTGATTTTAGAAACAAATTCTCTCATTTTCTAAGAAGAGCTGTTTTCTCCTCAGGAAATAGTATGAATTAAGTCTCAATTCCTCAGGTATGGCACTTTACTATATATAATTAGGAGAGGAAGGAATTCTCAGTCCCAAATTAACATTTTGAGCCTGGGATGAATTCCATCTTGCCTACCCATTGCTCTGTCATCTCACTGTGTCTGGCCCATAGTAGGCACACGATAAATATGTGATGACAAGACAGATAAATCAGTAAAACATGTTTGACACAAAATGTATTGAATTTACTTTGTTCCACAAGAGGCTAAAAAAAAATTGCTTCTTAGAAATTTTATTTTTGACAACATTGCTCTATTGGGTAATCTTAACATATGGAGCATAAAGAGTAAGAATAATGAATAAAAAACATAGGTGCAATTGTTTATTTGGGATTAGAGCAAATAAAATTTCTTTGTCTTGAAGCGATGTGAGTCAATTAAGCCAATGTTATGGGTATGAACAAACTTTCAAATCTATGCTTACTTACAAACCAGTTTGACAATAGACCATCACTATAGATAATATTATTTTTTTAAAAAACTAACCAATTATATCATTATTCTCACTTTAAATAGTGAACTAAAAACTGCATATTTATATATTATATATACAGCTTTTTCTCACTAGTTAATAATCATTAAAGACCATTTGGGGATTTCTTAGTTTCTAATAAAATAATACTTATTTTATTGTATTTGTAATAATATAAACAACTACATAAATAAGCATCAGAGTGTTGATTTTCTACAATAATACCCTTAAGGATAAATTCTGCTTTACTGTGAAGTTGTACTTCCTAATTATTTTCATATTGTAATGTACAAAGGAAAGGATAGTACTTTCTTGGGCACTGGTTTGATAGACAAAACTGCTATTGTCTGGAGTCCACCCTACTTCCCGGAGCTATAGACCTCAATTTTTCTGAATACATTTAAACCACAGGGCAAGAAGCCACTGTGCATTGGCACTCTGAGTTCAAATTTCTAAGGTCCTAGACTCATTTTTTTTAAAACCTTAGGACAAGCATGTCACAAATTTAGTTGTGAAAGAAGAGAAACATTGGGTTTTTTTTTTCCTTGTTTCTGAAGCATATATGCACTAACAAATGATGGGAGTTAAAATATATTTCTTCATTTTAAATAGTGAAATAGCAATAAAAATAAAGTCATGAATAATACAACCACTTAGAAAACATTTTGAAATAAAAATGAAGCTTATGAAAAACATCATCCTCAAAGAATGTTTATAGAATAAGAGAACTTTATTTAACTGCCATTCATGTTATGTACATAGAAGAATCAGTGGAAAGACAAACAAATGGGCTATGGTTTGGAGTTATATAAAAACTCCAAATATTTACAATTTTAAATATGCTAAAAGATTGTCAGAGGAAGGAAAGGTTTTACAGATATTATATGGGTGGTAATTATTGAGTCACTTCAGTGAAACCACCTGCAGGGCAGGGTTCCAAGCAAGCCTCTATCCTTTCCCATTTTCTCAAAGATAAGAGACCACCAAGCTTTTTAGGACAAAGAATTTCTGTGTTTTTCATGGCTGTGATAATTGATATGACACAAGTTTGAATAAACTATATGCACCAAATAAAGAAGGATGAAGGGATGGAAGGGAAATTAGAATTATTGTGCATTTAAAGACTCCTATGACACTTTCAACCAGAAGGCTGGCTTTCTTAATGGGATAAAACTATTGCATTACTTTATCGATCTTCTTTTCAAAAATGACAATAATCTCTACAAAACTTCTAAAGAGTCCAGGTTCAGATCATTTTGTGGACTAATCAGTTTTGTAGTTTTTATTGTAGGTGAACTTATTGTTTTGCATCTTTGAAAGTCTTGTTTTTTATCCTTGAAAACATAAATAAGAACATCAAATTGTAGTAATGTTTAGATTGTTGTAGATTTGACAGTATAAAATAAAAATCTCATTAAAAGTCAAATAATTCAACAACTATATAATGCCTGCATTTTTATGTTCAATGTCTGGTCCAGTAAAATGAGGATAAAAAGGGATGACTGAGTATGGAAAATTAAAATTATTAGTGTTAATTAAATTAAAACTAATGAAAGATGTTAAAATAAAGTCTTATGGAAAGAAATCATTTTAAGGAACTAATAAATGTAAATCAGTGTGAAGATTATTCTTTTGTAAAGTTTGGCTGAGAAGAAGAGAAAGAAAAACAAAAGAATGATAATGAGGCAAAGTCAGAGTTAAGGAACATTTTATTAGAGTAAAAGAAATGAGCATCATTTTAGGTCCATGAGAAGGAGTCATCAAAGGCAGTGCATTTGAGGTGAGGTGAGAGCCTGAAAAGGGAAGTAAAATTTAGGAAAATAAGGAAACCATGAAACTACCCAATAGGTGAATGGATACATCTTCTATGGAATCACCCAATAGAGTGAATGGATACATTTTCCAAGTTTAGTGGGAAGACTTTGGTCTGGAGAGAGAGTTTATGATAGGTAGCAATTATAATTAATTTGCAATGAAGTTATGATAGAGAAAATTTTCTGAATAAATATAGAGATCACTATTTCTTAGAAGGAAAAGTTTGAATAGGGCACATGAGAAAGATTGTAGAAGTTTATATCATTCATTGAAAAGATTGAAAGGAGTTGCTAAAAGAGGGAGTTAGTAGAATGAATGGCCAAATTGGAGACTACCTTTGTGTAATAGAATCTACAATTTTGTGTGATTATTCTTCTATAGGTTCAGCTGCCTGGATATGGAATTGGAGAAAATAAATTATGGCAATAATCCAGATTCAGGATTTGTTAGGTAGTAGATGAATAGACATACCCAAGAGTCAAGGATGTTGGTGACAGAGTAATTCAGGTGACCAGCCATGAGGTCCACTCAAGGTAGAGAAGAGGAGGAACCCAGTGACTAGGAAAAGGTACAAATCAAGGAAATTAGCACAATTAGCAAAAGTCATAGAAACTATTTAAATTTAGATATATATGAGATGGCTTGTGGAATAGACAGGCTAAGGACAAAATGGGAATTCTAGAATTTGAAGGAACAAACAAGCACATTTTCTGTTCAATATGGAAGTATCAGAACAAATTTTTAAAATTTTCAATACAATTCTAAAAGGCAAAGTTTGGTGAACCCATCTAGAGAAACTCC